AACCCAGTTAGCCTACCAAATTCGGCAAATGCGAGTGCAGATTGATCAATCTTCCAGGAGGATTGGGCAGGTTCTCGGGGAGGCTACAGAGCGGGTGGAAAGGGGAAATAGAATAGGGTTTGGGATTTTCACAAAAAAGCTACAATTTCCCCTTTATTAGTTGTTCTGGGCGTCGCCCACCAAAGTAAAAACGCGTCTCCGAGTGCCCATGTAGTGCCTAGATCAATCGCCCAGAGCTAGACTGAGCGATTTCCTCCTGCCCAGCTATTAATCGCGCCTAGGCGAGAGATTAATCGCGTCTTCTTGAACACTGAATAAAAGTGGACCAAACAAAGACATTACATCCAACTCATTTCAGTTCCATCTTAACACAGTATCGGAGGCATGTACTATTATTATACAAATGATCTTACGCTCTCAATTAGGAACTAAACGAAGGTTAAATGCTTGATTGGCAAACTAAATCGATGAACCTAGTGATCTTAAAGAAAAAATTAATGATCACATGATTTCTTGGACCAAACTACTAAAGGAAGAAAAAAAAAAGAGACCGTACATTAGCATAAGAACTCAACAAATTACTTATAAGAACTAATGATATAAGGAAAATGTAAACTCAAACCGTTCTTCCGAAGGTCATGGATTAAATCATTAGTTGTCGATTACATAGCCTAAACTGCAAGTTATATCCAAAATAAAGGCAATTTAGAAACAAAAAAGTTAGATAAGAAAGCCGTGAAACACAGAAAAATTGAGTGAACAAAGTGGGAAGTATTGCTTTCAATTAAGCTTGATTATGTTGACATAAAGCAGGCACATATTGACGTTGGAAACCTAAACAAAAAGCTTAAAAAGTGGCAAGAGAATTCTTCCCTTGAGGTTCAAATATAGCCTACCTATATGAGTAGAGCCAAGTAATTACCATGATTCCATTTTACACATACCATCTCACAACCAACTGCTGCTAATGCTCTGGTCCGTTCCAAACCTCACCTGCTCATATCTCCAATACCATATCACGAAACCAAGAATTATACACAACTAAAAGATCCAATAAGGAGAGTAACTTAGCATGGAACTTTGTGATGGGGGCAAATTCTATGGTCAGTATTAAGCTGTGCAAATTATATCACCTCTGCAAAGCTCACTACTTCCAGTAGTTTCTCACAGAACCAGCTACCGTCCTAATCCCTTCCTTCCTTCCTTCCCAGGGTCAGAGTGTGAAAAATGGTGTCCATCTCCGCCACAACCACAGCTTCTTCCTTCATCCATGCATCTCTCCGTCGCAACCCCTCTCTAGGGGTTTCCTCCGCCCCAGTTCTCGGTGAGTACTCTTGACGCCCCCCTCCCCTGAAATTCACAATTACCTCTGGCTTTTATCAATTCAGCTTGGGGGAACCAAGAAATTGAATCGATTGGGTGATATGCAGGGCTGCCGTCGATGGCGAAGAGAGGGAGAGTGGTGAAGTGCTCGACGGAAGGAAACGGAAGCAACGGCAGCGGGTGGGATAAGAAGGGGATGATGAGCGCTTCGCTGATGGCGGCGGTGGCCGCAGCAGCTGCGTCGAGCCCAGCGGCGATGGCTCCTCAACGGATGCGAGTAGCTGGAGCGATTTGTAACGACCTTCTAGAGGCTGAAGCAGAGAAGAAAGAAGAAGCAGGGTTCGTGGCGGCGGGGGAGACGGTGGTGGCGGCGGCAGTAGTTGTGCTTCTCGCCGGAAGGGAAAGCCTCAATCGTCGACAACCTCTTCGCCACGGAGATCGTTCGCTGCACTCCCAAACACGATCTCCTCAGTCGCAGCAGAAGCGGGCCGTCACTGCTTTCCGCCACTGACCACCAAAACGTCTGGTCGCCTTCCCATGAACTCAGCAACAGCCGGCCGTCAGCGCCTTCCTCCGTTGAACACGAAACCATGACGCCTCTTACCCGAATTTTCCGATGGAAACTGATTCTCCTCCTGTCCTGCGGGTAGGCGAAAGGATAACCCAGTAGACAAGGTGGTATTTCAGCCAAACGAAAATTAAATGAAAACTAAATGATAACTAAATGATAACGTGGGAAACCAGGAGAAAAAGGTGGGTAGTGGACGATTCTTAGTTCTGCAATCTGGCGGGGAGTTCTATTTTTTTCCCGCTCAACACCCTGCCACATCAGCTTCCTAAAATCACTCTATGGACAAGAAAATTTGAATGGGGGTGGCAGTTTTACTTTTCAGCTATAAATTATACTGTTGATTCTTTTCGCATGCCCTCTAGGCTCTATGCAACCTTTCACTTGCTAATTGAACAATTGAAATTAGACAAAAATGACATGTCCATCAATTCAATAGGAACGTCACTTGCTAAAAATTGAACAGTTTTTGCAAAGTTTCAGACTACAAGAAACATCACTTTTCTCGACGAATTCTATTGCGACGACACAAAATTCGTCGCAGAAAGTGAACATTTTGCGACGAATTTTGCATTTTCGTTGCGCATTGTGTTAATATTTTGTGGTGCCTATGGCAAAGATTTTTGCAACGGTCATTTCTTTTTCACGACAGGTGATTTCGTCGCAGAATGTTTGAAGACTTTCAGCGACGATTGTTTATCGTTGCAGAATGTTCATAGACTTTCCGCGACGATTGTCTTTCGTCGCAGAATGTTGGAGACTTTCAGCGACGATTGTATGTCATCGCAGGCGTGCATAGTGATGCATCACAGTGTAGATGACACAGGTGGTTAATTAAAAAGTGAACAAATTTTTCACAGATTATTCTGTCATATACCTAAGCCCTCGTTTGCTTCATGGAATTGATCATGGATTTGGTACTTAAAAACCAAGCATTATGGACTTTGTACACAATCCGTCTTTTGCTTGATGGATTTAGGAGGAATAAATCCGTGGGGTCCAAGGACTTTGAAGGTCCAAATCCGTGGACCCCACAGACTTGAGAATTCCACCCCAAGAGGTGGGATTTGTGTTGGGGTACAAATTCCATGGTGACTTTTTTACAATTTTAACCCTACTTATTTCACTAATCATCTACTCATCTTCTTTCATTTACTAATTACCAACTTGAAGTGCATATTAATTTTGAATTCAATATTTATTATTATTCATTGCACGAAAGCACTACATGATTAATCGCAAAGCATACTTTGTAATATTGAAAACCTTAAGGAATTGTCTAATATAATTATGTGTATAATATGATGTTGTTATTGATTAATGATGTTCATTTATTCCGATTGTGGTAGTGGGACGATGAAACTTGTTTTAAACAAAAATTATAATGTAAATATAAATAATACTCAATAAGGGCACTAAGGTAAATTCCTAATACAAGCACAAATATAGTAATGCCAAATCCATCATGAAATCCAATAAGCAAACGATGGTTTGTACCAAAAACCAAATGGGGCAATTCCATCATATATCCATGGTTTTGTAAAACCCAGGTTTTAACCAAAAACCTTCATTTTTCAAATTCATGAAGCAAACGAGCCCTAAATGTTTATTGAAGTGATCCGATACCCACAAGGACATTTTGTCACTATTTTTAGGTAGGGTTAATATATTTGTATGGCCTGAACTTTAGCCATAATAAACATCATGGCCCAAACTATACATCAAAATAACTATATTGGCCAAACCCGATGTTTGACCGTTATCTTGAACGGTCAAACGCGTTGACTAACGGTCAACATGCCACGTCATCGCCCGGTCAACATCAAAATCATTAAAATATTCATAATTTACACATATTTTCTAATTTTGAATTATTACAATTAAATTAGAACAAAATTATTACACATATTTTCTAATTTAAAAAATTTGAAACCCCCACCGGTGGCTCCCCTCTGTCTAGCAACCCTCTACGCCGCCTGATTCCCTTCCTCCGCAATCGAGCTGACGCTGGCTAAAGCACTCCGCCTCTTGCTCCAGGTAGCCAGAGGGGTTTCCTCTTCCGCTTCCTGTTTCGCCGGTGGGGGGTTTCAGTTTTTTTTAATTTAATTTGTAATAATTCAAAATTAGAAAATATGTGTAAATTGTGAATATTTTAGTAATTTTTATGATGATCGGGCGATGACGTTGCATGTTGATCGTTAGTCAACGCGTTTGACCGTCCAAGATAACAGTCAAACATCGGGTTTGGCTAATATAGTTATTTTGATGTATAGTTTGGGCCAGGATGTTATAGATTGAAAAGATTGGCCAGGATGTTTATTATGGTCAAAGTTCAAGCCATACAAATATATTAACTCTTTTAGATAAGAGTGATATGTATTTTTACTTTTTGTGATTAGATACTATTCATATGATTCAAATATGGAACATCCAAGTTCAAAACTAATGGTATTACCACTAAAACAATTTCTTGTTCATACATTCAGTCATTATTATTGGGGTTAATGACACATTTGGTCACTGGGATTACTAAATCGTGTCATGTTTAGTCACTACAAAAAAATAATATCAACGTTGGTCACTCAAATTACTAAAACAGGTCACATTTAGTCACTCTCCCTTAGTCTCCGTCCAAATCCGTTAACAGAGTCCGTTAAGTGCTGATGTGGCTAACAGGAGCGCCTAATCAGCACCGTTTTGGGCCGAAAATGAGCAAACCCGACCCGCCACGTCACTAAATCTGTCATGTCATACACCCAACCATGAACTCAACCGACCCAAAACCAAGCCCGAGCCCACATGAACCCAACAGACCAAAAACTATTCCCAAAACCAAACTTCTTCATCGCTGTTTCAACTTCTCCCATTGGAACGTTTCAAACGATTTTCAAAATTTTCGACAAAATCTTCAGATATTTGTTTAGCCATCTTTGCCTTCCTTCACTGCAATCGCACTGTGATGCCTCTCCTTCTCCCTCTGCGGATTCATCTCCCCCAAATTTCCAGTCCCCTTTGTAGTTCCGATCTCCATTTTCGAAGGGATATGAGAGATAGCGAAGATGAAAGCCTCACTCAAATTCCGGGATGAGCAAAAGCTGCTATTTCGAGCCAAGGTCCCGCTGAGCATTCTAGGCTTACTTTTTCAGTCTGGGATCATCGCCCGCGAGGCCAAGGAGCTCTCTCTCAACCAGTCGACATTCTTCGATTCCGGCCCGTCCTTCAAGGTCCCCTACCGCCCATTGATTCCTGGAATCCGTTCTCACTCGTGCTCAAGACAGGGTCGGGGTCGTTCGGCTCACCGACGTCAAGCCCGATGGTGATGAGTAGAAGTCACGGCCAGCACGAATCTCCCCATGAGGAGTCACGCCGTGATGAGTTTTCGGTAGGGGCTTAGGGTTCCATCAGATAACAAATTGGGGGGCGGAGTAGCTATAGACCTTGATTCGATGGCTGTCGCGATTAATTTCAAGAGGATCCCGTTCCTGGTGATGAACAAGATCGGGATTGAACACGTCAACCAATCTTATTCGATTGGGGCTTAGGGTTTTGTTGTATGCTGCGATGGGGGAAAATGACGTCGGCGCGTGACGAAGAAGAAGAAGAACAGAGCGACTTCGAAGGAGGATATTAGGGTTTCGTTGTCTACTGTGATGGGGGAAAAGCAACTTCAAAGCAGGAAGGTATAGAGATCGCGAGGAAGAAGAAAGAGTTTCGGGTCTGAAAATGGCCCCTAACCCGATCTATTTTGCAATTTTGTTAAGTCAAGTGGGCTCGGGTTTGGTTTTGGTCGATTGGGTTCATGAGTTGGGTTGGGTGTATGACGTGGGGGGTCGGGTTTGCCCATTTTCGCTCCAAAATGGCGCTGATTAGGCGCTCCCGTTAGCCATGTCAGCACTTAACGGACTCTGTTAACGGATTTGGACGAAGACTAACGGAGAGTGACTAAATGTGATATGTTTTAGTAATTTGAGTGACCAAAGTTGATATTATTTTTTTGTAGTGACTAAACATGACACGATTTAGTAATTCCAGTGACCAAATGTGGCATTAACCCTTATTATTGAGACGAAACCATATTAATAATATTGAAAATAAATTTATTGATACGAAACACCTACTCGCCGGATTAGTATTTTTTTTTTTGAGAAATTTTACAATGCTATATAGTATTGGTGCTATAGGGTTTTGCCTTTATGGTACAACTTAAAATTGTACATTTACGTTATGGTACAACTTCAGATTGTACCTATACTTTGTGTACAAATTCTTTAATGGTACAACTTGAACTTGTACCTTTATGTGATGGTACAACTTCAAGTTGTAAAGTTGTACCATAACATAATGATACAAATTGCTTTATGGTACAGCCTAAACTTTCATTTAATGTTATGGTACAACTTTAAGTAGTACATTAAAGCACCAATACTATATAGCATAGAAGAAGTGCATTTTTTAGCCCATAAATTTGAAGTACCAATTAAGGCAAGTATGTACTTAAAAAAAATACATAAATATATTAAGACAAGTCTGTAGGCATTAAACCACGATTAAGGTGGGTCGGGGGTAGGGATGGCAATGGGGCGGGTTTGCCTAAACCATCCCCATCCCCGCTTTCAAATATCCAAACCCATATTGATGTGGGGGAAGGATTTGCAAACCCATCCCCGTACCCATGGGTTTCGGGTACCCATGGGTAATACCCGCCCCGTACATCCAACATTATAATAGCTAAAATTTTACACAAAAAATTTCAATTATAATACTAAACGCACCTACTATTTCATAAAGTCGACAAAGAGACAATCATTCTTAATACGATTCTAAGCATCTTATTCTAAAACATCCAATAATCCATAAGATAGAGTAATAATATAAGCCAAATCATTATTCTCTAACTTTGGTACATCTATTAAGTAATAACTTACTAACAAAATGTTGTTAACATGAGGGAAAATGTCAAAGAATGAAGGAAGATTTGGAGGAAATGTATTATGTTTTGATTTGGGTGGTCACTCAATTGTATTTCTACTATTTATTTTCATGAGTTACCCTCGCTATTAATGATAGATTACAATTTAATCAATGTACTTTTTATATGTGAAGAAATGTTCTTGGTGGGGCGGGTATGGGTATGGGTATGGGTATGGGGCGGGGGAGACTAAAACCATACCCGCCCCATACCCATCAAACTGTTTGCGGGTTTTACCCATACCCGCCCCATACCTACGGTCATGGGTTTGATTGCCATCCCTATTCGGATCAAAATCTTCACATTGATTAATGAAAACTGAAAAGTAAACAAGGACGATAATGACAGTTAGACTTGTCACAACGTCCAATTAAGTTATACAAAAAAATCTTGTCTACACATCCAAAACCAAAGGAAACTAGTAGTTAACGACAACACCGGAAACCCAAACCACTTTCTCTCTAATAACCCTAATTAGTTGGGACAAATGAAGTAGTTAACTGTTTTCAAAGGAAAGAAGAGTTTACTTTCTTTCACTTGCCCTAATAATTAGTCCAAAAATGCCGAGTCAGGCACTGGGTGTGACCTATTCAACTTCCAAGGCCACCTGTTGTTGATATCATGCATTTTTTTATCTTCTAATTTGGGTTTAGGGTTTTTTATGAGAAGGCCAGGTCAGATTGTGGTGTCCAAGTTTTGTCCAACCCAACTAGAAGTTGACATTAATGAATTATTATTTGGATAATATTTGCCACGCCGGCATGTCCATGTAATTATGATTTGGCACCTCCTCCAGACCTCCTATCGTTGCACACTTTGGCTAATTAACTTTGGACTCTCCACTTGTGTTATTATCGCCCTCCTAATCCAATTCATAATTGAAATAAGTGATAAATGGCCCTTAGACGGTCCAAACCAACATACCAAAAGCCATCCTCTAGACTTCTACCAGAGTTGATAGAAAGGGAATCTTGAGGCATAGTGTAGCTCTTCTCAATATTTGGTATGAGATTATAATGCATGTTAAATTAGAAAATAGCACTAGCTCTCTCTTTTCTTAAGCGTTAACTTAAAATTTGAGAAGTTCTCGTAAAAAAGAAAAAATATGTAGTCTCTTCTCATTTTAAATTTTTTACTTAATTACTGCTCAATATGCTCTGAGAGCAGGGGATTTAAAAAAGCACTCCTACAAACAAACAATATGGATACTTCAATTTTGACTTTTTCGATTTAGTATTGCTGACTATTTACATATAGATGTGTGTGACGGTCATTTGTTAGATAATTCCATCATATTATGTTATGTTGTTCACATCATCTTTGATTCCTATCATGATTATTTTATAACAAATTTCCTCGTCTGTTGTAGGCAAAAAAAAAAAAAAAAAGAAGATTTCTATAGGTTCACACGCTTGTTGATATTTCAAACTCCATTTTTTCATGTTAGTTTGGAGTAAATATGATGCTTACATGGAACTTCTAATTTCACAGTTCAATTAATAACATAGGTTGGTGGCCTGTAAAAAATATGGGGGCCGGTGGCTAACGTTGTGATGATAAAACGTATACAATAATTGAATGTATAATATTGGGAAGAGTCGCAAAATGGATCCTAAGCCACACATTGGTTCGTGCCAGGTGTCCAATGTAAAACCCTTTTGGCCGAATTGGTAGAAGGTGTTTGGACGTACGTACTCAAGCTAGGCTAGCTAGAGGCCAATATTTCAGAGGTGATGTTTATGGATTGATTAGATCCGCATGAGTATATAAATGGACACATTGCTGGTTCGAAATCGATTACGCGAGAGCAATTAGTCGTCCTGTTAATTATTCCGACCTGGGGGAAAAATTGGTTCACTTGACATGACTATATGTGACTAGGCTGGCTTATGTGAAAATGGCGGAGCAGGCTTCGATTAGGGATTTGGAGTTTTGTCGAATTGGGAATTTGGGGAGGAAGAGATTGACAGAAGGCTAAGTCAATCTCCTTTGTAATACGATTGGGCCCGAGACCAGTTAGGCCCACAACTTAACCAAATAGAGGTTACTGGGCTCAAACCTCCCTCTCCGGCCCAAGGTTTCTGATCGGACAGGAATGAAGAATAATCTTCTTCTTCCCTGACTCAACCCAAACCAAGAACAGAGTACTGCAAAAACAGAGTGCTGCAGAAGCAGCAAGAAGAAGAGCAGCAGAAGGTAAATGAACACAGCGAGATTTTTAACGAGGTTCGCCACAGGGCTACTCCTCGTCCCGGAATAGTACCCACTATTTTGAGAGACACTTTTGATTTTCTTTGACTCTGAAAAGAAGAAGGGAACGAAGAGATTACAGCAAATGTGAAAATCAAAAGGCACGACTCTAGACCCGAATTCGCGCAGGAATTCGTTACAACCTTTGATCAAAATGATCCTATACCTCAGTTGGATCAAAGCCACTGTTTTCCCAATTCTCAGCCCTATACCACAGAGAATTCCCCTAAAATAGTCAAGATGCAGGATCAGAAGAGAAGGAGTATAAATAGTCTTCTTGCTGGGTCTTTGCTGTGTAGCCGTTATGATTTGAATGGTTGAACGATTTGATTGGAGAGGCTCCCCCTTGATTGATGCACTGATCTGATCTTCTTTCCATCTTTTGTTTCAATCCAATCTGTCAACTTGATCCGATGTGATTCTCAGTCTAACAATCTCCCCCTAAGTTGATGATTGCTGATTGACTCGTTGAAACCTGCAAGCAAGAGCAAATACCTTTCCCAAAGCAACACAACGATGGCATCCACAGAAAACTGAGTTCTGAACTGACTATAGACTCAACATCAATCAACCAAAACATTCAAGAACCAGGAACCAGTAAACTAGACCGAAACAATCCAACCACCTGGTGAGACACGTCCAGCAAACCGACACAAAACCGACTATTCAGAGAATCTCTCAGCTGGAGAAACATGTCCAGCAAACCAAGAAAACAGTTAGTACTTTAAGAAAGCACAGCCTAATCAGAACCATAGAGGTCCTGAAGGTCCTGCAGAGCAGCAAAGACTTCGTCCAGAGGGGGTGGACCAGAGGAGTCAGATGACTCCGAGCCAGATGACTCTGAGTCAGAATCATCGCTGCTAATCCAGTTAACATCTATATCTGGGCTGTCACCTTCCTCGAAATCTTCTTCAGATCCTTCTTCATCTTCAGGTTCCTCCTCAGCTTCTTCCTCAGCTGATTCTTCCTCCATTTCTGCATCATCCTCCCCCTCAACGATGTCATCCGCAATCTCATCAAGAATGTCATCCGCAGTCAGATAAACATTTGGAGTGGTGGTACGAAAGGGATCAAGAGATATCCCAAGGCGAAGAATGAGACGGGTAATGAGAGGAGCAAAAGGGAGATGTCCCAGAAATTCAAACTATTGAAAGGGGTATAACCCGCCAAACAAC